GTTCAAAGTTCACGAGTTGGAATCGAAGAATAGAAACCGACAGTAAGTCGTTCCCGCCTATTTTTAAATCCTTTATATTAAGTTCGCTTGCTTGCGTGCTTGCTTAGGACCGTGTAAATCTTTCGGTCGTTTTTTAACCCACTTCCCGTGATCCAATCGAGCTGACATTTTGCACACAGACTCGTTGTGCGTGACAATTAATGTTCGTGAAATTTTCTTCCAAAATTTTACACTGTTTAGGGAAAACAAATTAAATATTTAATTACCAATTGCTTAATGGTGGCAGACAATCATCTGACCCATAGGTGGCAGCCATCTCAAGCCAGAGGACGAGAGGACTCTAGCCGCCACGCATATAAAGGATTTATAGTGAAAAACTTTGTTTTTACGGGTTATACTTATTTTTTTGTTTGCTTTTCAATTCACAACATATTCCTTTTGTGGATGACGTACGTCAGAGGTCGCAAACGGGTTTTGATTCCTTACCCGTACCCGGACCTGGCCACACCAGGGTCGCAAATGGGTACCCGTACCTGGCCGGGTATGGGTACCTGTTCACCTACCCGTACCCGTACCCTACCCGAAATGAGTGACAAACGGTGACTCACCAGTGACTCACGGCCTACCCGTACCCGTACCCTACCCAAATGAGTGACAAACGGTGACTCACCAGTGACTCACGGCCTACCCGTACCCGTACCCTACCCGAAATGAGTGACAAACGGTGACTCACCAGTGACTCACGGCCTACCCGTACCCGTACCCTACCCAAATGAGTGACAAACGGTGACTCACCGGTGACTCACGGCCTACCCGTACCCGTACCCTACCCGAAATGAGTGACAAACGGTGACTCACCGGTGACTCACGGCCTACCCGTACCCTACCCGAAATGAGTGACAAACGGTGACTCACCAGTGACTCACGGCCTACCCGTACCCTACCCGAAATGAGTGACAAACGGTGACTCACCGGTGACTCACGGCCTACCCGTACCCTACCCAAATGAGTGACAAACGGTGACTCACCAGTGACTCACGGCCTACCCGTACCCTACCTGAAATGAGTGACAAACGGTGACTCACCAGTGACTCACGGCCTACCCCTACCCTACCCGAAATGAGTGACAAACGGTGACTCACCGGTGACTCACGGCCTACCCGTACCCTACCCAAATGAGTGACAAACGGTGACTCACCAGTGACTCACGGCCTACCCGTACCCGTACCCTACCCGAAATGAGTGACAAACGGTGACTCACCGGTGACTCACGGCCTACCCGTACCCGGCCGCACCAGGGTCACAAACGGCTACCCGGCTACCCGTACCCGGGTATCGGGTAGGGTACGGATATCGGGTACCCGGTTGCGACCTCTGACGTACGTTTGTTACAAACACAACTCCCATCTCTGTGAACGAAGACTCTGGCACTTGTGCTCAAGGTGTGAGGTCTTTATTTCACGGCATGGGTCCACACCTTCATCCTCGCTGTCTTATGGTTGCGATTGTTCGACTTGCATCCCACTGGGAGCCTTGCACACAGCGTTGATGAGATACGGTGCTTTTTCCAGGAAGACTTTGCCGTTTTTTTCCTGGATTTTTCTGTTTGCGCGTAGTCACTTTACCCGGCCGGGTAGCCGGGTATCGGGTAGGGTACGGGTATCGGGTACCCGACTGCGACCTCTGGGATGAAGCCACGTTGCAGGCGCGGGTGGGTTGATTCTAGGAACTTGAATTGTGAGAAGAGATAAGACGTTGGGAAATGAGTGACAAACGGTGACTCACCAGTGACTCACGGCCTACCCATACCCGGCCGCACCAAGGTCGCAAACGACTACCCGTACCCAGCCGGGTACGGGTAGTCGGGTACGGGTAGGGTACGGGTATCTGGTAGGGTACGGGTATCGGGTAGGGTACGGGTATCGGGTAGGGTACGGGTATCGGGTAGGGTACGGGTATCGGGTATCGGGTAGGGTACGGGTATCGGGTAGGGTACGGGTATCGGGTAGGGTACGGGTATCGGGTATCGGGTACGGGTATCGGGTAGGGTACGGGTATCGGGTACCCGATTGCAACCTCTGGCGCTGGTCTAACCGTCCCACCTGACGCTCACCCGACCCTGTTGCTCTCTTTTACACATTTTGAATGTTCCCCGTTCCCTAAGCAGTCGGAGCGCGGAGTGACGGCGCTGCCTTCTTGACTACTCTGTCCCAGGGACCGTGTGGGACTGTCACCGCACACCTGTCACGCGTTTCTCTTTCAATCCAGGGACGAGTTGGAATCTGTCGAAGCGCATCACCAGGCACAGCTCGGAGCCTACGTACAGACACGCACAAACTTGGTAATACAAAACGCAAAACAGTATGTTTAGTATGCTGATGATAATATGTAGTTTATACTTTAGTTGCTTACGTGGTGGTTTTAGTTACCGCAGCTACATACTATTAACAATCCTTTCTCTTTATTAATGCTACCCCTATCCCCTCCCTTTGATGCTGCTAATCCTGCATAATGCACGGGCATAAGTAGTACTAATCACATACCTGCATTTCCCATATCCCCTCCCTGTGATGCTGCTAATCCTGCATAATGCACGGACATAAATAGTACTAATCACATACCTGCATTTCCCATATCCCCTCCCTTGATGCTGCTAATCCTGCATAATGCACGGGCATAAGTAGTACTAATCACACACCTGCATTTCCCATATCCCCTCCCTTTGATGCTGCTAATCCTGCATAATGCACGGACCTAAATAGTACTAATCACATACCTGCATTTCCCATATCCCCTCCCTTTGATGCTGCTAATCCTGCATAATGCACGGGCATGAGTAGCACTAATCACATACCTGCATTTCCCATATCCCCTCCCTTTGATGCTGCTAATCCTGCATAATGCACGGACATAAGTAGTACTAATCACATACCTGCATTTCCCATATCGCCTCCCTTTGATGCTGCTAATCCTGCATAATGCACGGGCATAAGTAGTACTAATCACATACCTGCATTTCCCATATCGCCTCCCTTTGATGCTGCTAATCCTGCATAATGCACGGACACAAGTATTACTAATCACATACCTGCATTTCCCATATCCCCTCCCTTTGATGCTGCTAATCCTGCATAATGCACGGACATAAGTAGTACTAATCACATACCTGCATTTCCCATATCCCCTCCCTGTGATGCTGCTAATCCTGCATAACGCACGGGCATGAGTAGTACTAATCACATACCTGCATTTCCCATATCCCCTCCCTTTGATGCTG